ATAAAATAATTAGTATATATAATGTATTTACTATTATTGTATTATATAACAACAGCAGCAGAAATAATAATAATAATAATAATAATAATAATAATAATAATAATAATAATAATAAATATATTCTGGATCATTTGAATAGGCTTTCAACCGAAAGAATACTTTTTTCTTAAAGTAGCAAGTTAGTAAAGTAATAACTTCTTAAGGTATATTAATAAAGTAGTGAGTGTATATGTAATTACATATATAATATTACTTTTTAATAATAATAATATATTTTGGTAATTTTTCATAATGTCATAATTTAGAAAAGTAATATTTTATAATAATGTAACTTAAAATAATGAGTATAGGCTATGCAATGTATTTAATATTATTTTTTATTATTATTATGAAATTATAATGTAATTACAAATATTAATAAAACTATATTTTGGATAATTCCAGTCTTTCAGCTGAAAGAATACTGTTTATTAATGTAATAAAGTAATGTATTTTTTTTATTGTAGATTATTAACAAAACGTGTATATATATATATATATATTAGGGATGCACGATATATCGGCCACCATATCGGTATCGGCCCATATCGGCTCATTTTTTCTGTTATCGGTATCGGCCTGATAAGAAAATTTGGCCGATATCTTAAAGCCGATGTTGTCACATGAAAAGATATAATAAAATATTGACAAAAATGGGAGGGGTGTACTCACTTCTGTGAGATACTGTATGTGTGTGTGTGTGTGTGTGTGTGTGTTTTATTATTACATAATAACAGCAATGATAATGATAATAATACACTCTAGATCACTTGAATTGGCTTTCAGCTAAAAAAAACATTTCTTAATATAATGATATCTTAATATTTTGTAGCTAAATAAACTATTGAGTATATACACACACATTTAATTGGTCAAAGAAACCTGGGCTTCCATACCACCTCAGCAGTGCCACAAACTGATCACCTCCATGCCACGCTGAATTGAGGCAGTAATTAAAGCAAAAGGAGCCCCTACCAAGTATTGAGTACATGTACAGTAAATGAACATACTTTCCAGAAGGCCAACAATTCACTAAAAATGTTTTTTTTATTGGTCTTATGAAGTATTCTAATTTGTTGAGATAGTGAATTGGTGGGTTTTTGTTAAATGTGAGCCAAAATCATCACAATTAAAAGAACCAAAGACTTAAACTACTTCAGTCTGTGTGCATTGAATTTATTTAATACACAAGTTTCACAATTTGAGTTGAATTACTGAAATAAATGAACTTTTCCACGACATTCTAATTTATTGAGATGCACCTGTACTTGATGCTATAGGATGCTCAGGGTTGATATATTAGTAACAGTTTTTGATGAATGGATTGCAAGCCAATGCTGCATGTTACACTTAATAACACCCTTTAGCCATGATTATATTCATAGCATTGCTACATTTATAAAACATACAAACATTTATGGAAATAAAATAATATTGCTGATTATCAAACTTCTGTCTGACACACTGAAGATGAAACCGCACATTTATTCCACAATGGCAGAATTCCCTTTAAGCTAAAAGTGTCAGTATCTAATTGCAGGCTTCTGTTGGCTCCTGAATTTGAACATGGTCTGACATGAGTCAGTCTCTGTAGCTTCTCTCCAAACCAAAGGTTGTGTGGATCCAATTGAGCAGAGATGATGGAACTCATTATACAAAACATTCTGGGGAGAATTTGGATGAAATCTGGCTCAAAGGCTCAGATTGGCTTTTGTAAAACAAATGTCTTCACCGAAACCCCTATGTCCAAGACCAAGCCAAACAACACTTATCTGACAGTATTTTACATTTAATTTGGTGTCTGTCTCTTTATACTGTTTCAGTACTCTGAATATGACTGTCCTTCTCAACAGTGACTAACAGTCTGAGTTCTGTTCACCAAATAACAGTTTGTCAGTGCAGAGTTTTTCGTAAACTCTTTTGTTATTTTATTTTATGTATATACATATGTATATACCAATGTGTATACCAAGGCTACAATCATTCAATCAAGAACACAGTAAAAACAGTGATAGTGTGAAATAATATAACAATTACATCATGGTTTACAATTTTAATAAAAGTTAAAATATAATTTAATCATATGGTGTCAAAGCTGAATTTTCAGCATCTGATTTATTATCAATGTTGGAAACAGTTGTGCTACTTAATTTAATTTAATTTTATTTTATTTTATCTTTAAATTGTAATTCCATTTCATTTCATTACTGTGACTTTTTTTTCCAGGATTCTTTGATGAATTAAAAGTTAAAAACAACAGCATTCATTCAAAATAGAAATGTTTTGTAACAATACAAGTCTCTGATATTATTTTTTAATGAATTTAACATATCCTTGCTGAATAAAAAAAATTATAAAAAAATAAAAACATACCACAAACTTTTGAATGGTAAGATTTCTATTGGGAATAAATTATATCACAGTTTTTTTAATTGAAAACCGTTATTTTAAATTGTAATAATATTTCATAATATTACTGTATTTTCGATCAAATAAATGCACCATAATGATAAGCATATGTATGAGGTGTCTTTCAAACACACTAAAATCTTACTGCTCCCAAACTTTTAAATGGTAGTGTATATATAAAAACTTTGACTTTATATATATACAGTGCCTTCTGCCTTGCGAAAGTATTCATACCCCTTCATTTTGTTCATGTTTTGTTATGTTGCTACCTTATGTTAAATTGCTTTAAATTATTTTTCCCACATCATTCTACACTCCATACACCATAATGGCAAAGCAAAAAATAGTTTTTTAACATCTTTGCAAATTTATTAAAAATAAAAAACTTAAATGATTCCATTGCATAAGTATTCTGGGACAGTTGAAATTTAGCTCAGGAACATTCATATTGCTTGTAGATGTTACTACACTTCAAGTGAAGTTAACCTGTGGCAAATTCAACTGAATGGGTATGATTTGGAATGGCACACACATCTTAATAATAGGTCTAACAGCTGAAAATGCATCTCAGAGCAAAACCAAACCCTGAGGTCAAAATAACTGTCTGTAGAGCTCAGAAACAGGTTTGCATCAAGTCACACATCTGGGGAAGAGTTCAGAAAAACATTCAGCTTCATTGAAGGTTCAAAGAATCATGTAGTCTTGATTATCCATAATGGAAGACGTTTAAAACAACTAGAACTCTCCCTAGAGCTGGCCTCCTGGCCAAACTGAGCAACTGATGGAGAAGGACTTTGTCTAGACTGGTGACCAAGAACCTGATGGTCACTCTAGTTGAGCTCCATGATCATATATACAGATGGGTGAAAGGAGGACAAACATCACTGCAACACTCTTTATGGGCTTTATGGCGGTGTAGCCAGACTCAATCCTCTCCTTAGTGAAGACACACAAAAAACCCACTTGGAATGTGCAACAAAAAAAAGGCACCTAAAGGACCCTCGGACTCTGAGAAACAAGATTCTCTGGTTTGATGAAACCTCAATTCTAACCATCATGTTTGAAGGAAACCAGCTCTGCTCATCATCTGCAGAGTACCATCACTTGCAGATCATGTAGATATTAAGGTAATGTAGAATGCATTGATCATTTTAGATTTTGAGCTTATGTCATTGTTGTAATTTTGCAACGTTGGGTTAAAGGGGTAGCAAAATTTGCCTTTGCACCTTGCACATTACATGGATGAATTGTACTTCTCATCTGTTCGGTGTGAAAAAATACTAATAAAAGCATTCTGTTTTTGATCATTCACAAGTTTTAAATGTCTTTTTTGTTACCATTTTGAGATTCAATCAAGATGTTATGATTATTAATTGATAAGTTCAAGTTGAAGAACAAATTATTTCTTCAATAATTTGAAAGTATTTGTGTAGCAATATTTTTAACTATCTGTACCTTATCATTTATAAAATGTACTTAACTGGTCCTTTGCTTGTTTGCCCAAATATCTGCTTGCTGCATGAGAGACAGGTGATAATGTTCTGGAATGTGGGTGGTATAAGTGCTATTAGCATGATAAGTAAAGGGCACAATAAGTTATCAGACAGTATTGTGTGAATTCTGTGAATGGGTGAATTCTTTCAAATCTGTAAGTGTATTTGGGATCAATTTGCACTGATATTTTTAGCCTGGAAAATAATCTTTTCACAGGTTTTTTCTATATTTGGGTCTTCTAGTGTTTTAATGAAAACCTAGTCCAGAGCATTGAGAACCTCAGACTGGGCAGAAGGTTCACCTTCCAACAGGACAATGAACCTAAGCACACAGCAAGAGTGGCTTATAGACAACTCTGTGAATGTCCTTGAGTGGCCCAGCCAGAGCCTGGCCTTGATCCCAATCAAATATTTCTGGAGAAACCTGAAAATGTGCGTCTGCTCTCATCCAACCTGACAGAGCTTGAGCGGTGAGGAGGCGAGGAGAAGAATGGCAGATAATTGCCAGATGCTGATGTGCAAAGCTTGTCGCATCATACCCAAAAAGACTTGAGGCTGTTAAGGTGCTTCAGCCAAGTAATGAGTTACTGAATACTGAATTGAATTGAATACTTATGCAATGTACTTATTTCAGTTTTTTATTTTTAATAAATTTACAAAGTTGTGACAGTTCTGTTTTTGCTTTGTCATTATGGTGCATGGAGTGTAGATTGATGTGGGAAAAAAGTAATTTACAGCAGTTTAACATAAGGCTGCAACATAACAAAAACATGAAAAATTAAAGGGTATGTACTGCAAAGTACTGTATGTATGTGTGTGTGTGTATATATGTACAGTATATCAAGAGTTTATTTGCAATACAGATAACTCATTTTTTCTAAATTTTCAAAAATCATGTTTTGTATTGTTTTATTGTGTTAGTTAGCTGTATTGTTAGTTATTTTTTACCTAATCAAAATAACCCAACTGCAGTTTGATTGAGATTAGTAAGAATGCACAATGAAAAAACATGATTTTTGAAAATTGTTAAAAACTGAGTTATCAGTCTTTGCAAATTAACTTTTCAAATATATACTCATATGTGTGTATCACTTTGTGTGTGTAATAACCATAAAAACATATGATTACTGATTTTCACAATGTAAGATAATAAATATATTATTAAAGGTAAACTCTATATGCAGTGCTATCTTACAACATCAAGTGTTTACTTACGAGTTTCATTGGTAGACCAGTTATATAGCAGAGTACTTCTGTCAGGAATCTACCAGCCTCTAGTTTACAGTAAGAGCGATTCATAAACAAACCCACAATGCCTCACCGCATAGACCAAAGAATGAGCTCATCAGCTCATCATTATTACGATTAAGCAACAATCATATACTCAAGTGCATTTTTATGCATTAAATACATATTTATATAGTTTATATCAGGGAGCGCAGGTGGGACTAGCAAATGTTCTGCAGGTGTGCATGTCTTGTTTTGTTTCATGGACTAAATACTATCAGTATCACCCTTAAAATAAGCTAATATAAAATATAAATAACAGAAAAGACAAACTAAAGAGGCCTAATATAAGAAGCCATTACTGATGTCAACGCCGTTACACTGTCCACCCTTGATTGTCAGAGTCTCCAGGGCATCCTGTTTCAAGTGGTGAGGAAAGAGGTGGGACTTCCTGTCGTTACACCGTCTCCCATTCCTACAGATATCTGCATCTTCTTCATCCTCTTCCTCGCTGGATGTGTTACCGTTCACCTCTGTGTCCAGTTCGTTGGCACCAAACGAGTCGCTGCAGGCTGAGTATTCAATCTTCTCCATGCAGGGCGGCTCGTCGTCCTCGAAACAACTGCGGAAACAAACACAATGCCGTTATCATTAAACAAACTAAAACAACAAATTTAAGCTATTAGTAATATGATCATTGCAGCTGAAATAAAATATAAATATGAAATATTTTATACATTTAAAATAAAAAATAAAATAAATATTAGATGAAAAACTATTTAAAATTAAAAAACGTAAACGAAACATACAAAAACAGAAATCAAAATTTTAGACATATTTTAAAAAAAAACTAATTAAAAACACAAAAGTATACAAAATTACAAAAAATAACGACAGATAAAATGAACAAAATATAAAAAATATATAAATACAAAACAAAAATAACAAAAATGAAAAAAAAGCACAGAAAATTACTAAAAATAAACAAAAATGTAAATTTAAACTATAAATATAAAAAGCTAAAAACACGAAAAAGTACATAAAATTACAAAAAAGCAAAAAAGTTAAAGCAAAAAAAAATATATAAAATTAAAAGCTAAATAAAAAAACTGAATAGAAATGACAAAAGCACATACTACTAAAAATAAACGTTAATTCAAAATATTAATTAAAACAGTTGTATATAAACAGAAATACAATACTCCAGCAATGCATTTGGGGGGGGGGGGAATCAATGAAGTGCTCTGTAAGTCATCACTTCATCACTGTGGAGCGAAATTAATTTGAATGGAAGCGTATGGCTCTGTCACCGCTGCTGGATCCGCCGAAGGACGCGGTGACCTTGAGTTTGCTGAGCGTTTTGATTGACAGTAAACATAAAGCCCAGTCACACTAATCAGATCAAAACCACAGGAATCCATGGAGAACGTGGATGTGACGAGCAATCTGATTCGCTCGTCCTCGCCACCAGTGTGTGTGTGTGTGTGTGTGTGTGTGTGCACGTGTGAGTCTGTTTATCATTTTCTCTGCCCTGGGTGGAAATTAAAGGGAAAAAATAACATCTGGTGTGCCACAATGTGAAGAACAACATTGTATTTTTCCCTCTTCATTATATGAAAGATGAGATGACGCTCTGGGTGAAAGACGGAGCGTGTGGGAGCGGACTCATGAGATGCAGGAGACACGTCCCTTTCACAAACAAATCACGTCCTCTTGACTCACAAAATGAACCAATTTGTTATGCGGTTGTCATTGCGGCAACAGGTGCGAGTTACTCGTCTATTCTTCTGACTCCCAATCTTGTCCAAATTCAGTGCAGGACACATAACAAGCAGCAATATTAGTGTCTGTTTTGTGGTCGGAGCACTTGTCGTTTGTAAGGGGAGTTGATTTGCATATATAGACTTCGTGACTAAGGTTATTGCGGCCTTTTGAGCATTTGAACAGCTCTTTTAAATGGACATTAAAGATATTTATGGAGTCATCAGACGTTTTGAAAACCTCAAACATCAAGGAAGAGATGAGAAATCTGTTTTTCCCCAAAACAAGACCAAACATCAAATGTGGCCAAAAAACACAAAACACAAAGAAAACTAAACAAATAGTCTGAAAACTAAATAAAATAAACTAAAAATAAAATAAAATAAAAAAAATAAGAAAATGAAAAGGATCAAAACAAATAACCAGGAATAAAAATAAATAAATAAAGTATAATACACACACACACACACACACACAAACAGACATATATATATATATAGACATATATATATATATATATATATATATATATATATATAAAACAAAATTTACAAAGACAACGGAATAAATAATCACAAACAAAAACTAAAATAAACATAATAATAATAAACAGATAATTGAAAAGAAAATATATTTTCAAGTATTCTTGCCAGACAGCTAATCAAAATGATTGGTTTAGGTATATATATATATATATATATATGGTAAGTTTTTTTGTTTACCAAATTTGACTAATCCCCCCCCCCCAAAAAAAAACTGGGAAAACAACTCTCATCAAAATATCTATCTTATGGCCACATTTGATGTTGCTTTACTTGTAGAATGCAAGAATAAAAGACACCATAAAAAGCATTGATGAACTTTCTTTGAACTTTACAATTATGTTTTTGTGAATAATCATTTGTTCCATTTAAAATGTATACTGCAGCAGTGAAACACAGATGTGTGTATTGAGCCTGACATTCCATTTCACACTTGGCAGAAAAACAAAAAATCGGAGCCAAACTTTAAATATGTTTGGACAAAATGATAAAATGGCAAAAAAAAAAAAAAAAGTATTAAATAAGTATATAAATTATATACAGATGATTTCAGTCTAAAATGATTATAGTCTACAGTAGTTATTATTATACATTTTTTATGTTAAAAAGATATTTGGAAGCAATTTTTCATTCAGCAGCAGTCATGTGAGCTTTGGAGACTCAAGCATTATGACACTGCAGAAAGGACAAAATCATTATCGACTTCCATAGAGTGACTGCAGAGACGTATGTCAATAACGTTTTAATGTGACAACAGAATGAACTCGTAATGATCGGTTTTGAGGAAACAGGGCACCTTCCTCCGTGTAAACAACACCACCACGACCTACTGTATACTGCTTGTAGCTGCTCAACAATGATGTGGGTTTCTGACTTGATGAGCTTGATTCTCTGAAAGCGAAGACTTTGTGTGCTTACGCAGGTCCGCTTTCAATTACTTTAAGTGGCCGCTGAGAGCGAGGGCTGTTCATTTCTGTGCCGCTCGGCCAGGGGGAGTTCATGCATCTTTGTGCCAGTCAGCAGGTTGGCTTTTCAGCACTTAGTCATAAAAACACAACTCAAAAGATCAAAAGATGACAGGCGAGGCAGAATGTGAGATATAGGAGAGACTGGGGCTAGTTGTCACACTTTTTACTCCATGTTTGTTAGGGAAGATGAATTCAGTTTTCATAAAGGCACACCTTAAAAGGATAGTTACCCCCAAAAAATTACATTTTGTCATCATTTACATCATTTACACACCCACAGATATTTTGAAGAATGTTGGTAACCAGCCAAACATCAGTCAGCAGGTTGGCTTTTCAGCACTTAGTCATAAAAACACAACTCAAAAGATCAAAAGATGACAGGCGAGGCAGAATGTGAGATATAGGAGAGACTGGGGCTAGTTGTCACACTTTTTACTCCATGTTTGTTAGGGAAGATGAATTCAGTTTTCATAAAGGCACACCTTAAAAGGATAGTTACCCCCAAAAAATTACATTTTGTCATCATTTACATCATTTACACACCCACAGACAGATATTTTGAAGAATGTTGGTAACCAGCCAAACAGTTGAAAGTAGCCATTGATTAACATAGTTTTTTTTTTCCATTGTATGGAAGTCAATGGCTACAGTCAATTGATTGGTTACTAGCATTCTTCAAAAATATCTTATTTTGTGTTCAACAGAAGAAAGAAACCGGATTGGAACAACTTGAGCTTTCCTCTGTGAGGAAGTGATGACAGAATTTTCATCTCTTTAATGTGCCCATTAGAAAATGGACTGTTGTTTCCTTGGACAAAAATATGCAGTTCATTTAACACCAGTGCTAGTATTATGTATATTCTATTAATATTTTGAATTATTATTTATTTTTATTTTTTTTACATTCTTTTTTTCTTTTTATCTTTAATTTTAATTTCAACTTTGGTTTTAGTAAAATATTTTTTTTAAGTTTGAATTTTTCATATATTTCAACTATAATATTTCTGGTTATTTTGTTTCAACTTTATTACATTTCAAGAAAAAAAAGAAGTAATTTTAGTTAACATTTACAACACTTCTGTGACAACATGCCCCAATAGCAGACACTATATGGGGTAAATTGTCCCAATGGGAACCTGCCATTGAAGTCAACATGAACTGGCATTAACAACCAATTTTAATTCTATAATGTGCAATTTTTCAATAATTTTTATTTTTGTTTTTTTGGATAAAGAAAGTGCTGGATGGCAAAATGTTGGCGTTACATACCAGAATTGAGTTAAAACAGAAAACTATCCATTAGGTTTATATAATGTCAAAAAGAAAATGAAAGTTGGAAAAATAAGTTACTGCATTATGATTTAAGATTACTCACATTATATTTTGTGCATAATATTTTGTGATATGACAACTACCCCGGTCTCCTAGACAGAAAAAGAGTGAAATGGAAAAAGAAAGAATAAAATCTATAGTTCAATTCCCTAAAGTCAATGGTGTCTTAGGGGAAGCTGAGTGTCCAGCGTGGCTAATTTGCTGCAGGTTTCCAGAATACAATCACCTGCCATTACAATTACTCCAAGATCACTTGTAATTCACTGTACGGATGGAAGACAATCAATGACTATCAGGAGGATTATGCTGCTGTGGCTGGAGCCTGAACACAGGGACTCGGGTGGGATAGATAAACAGACAGTTGCAGGATTTGCGGTTGACCACTCCGCATAGTCGTGAAAGGAAATCCTATTAGCTATAGCACTTGCTTTTATAAATGCTTCCGGTGTCTACCAACAGGGGCTAACTGAAGCGTGCTGAACAGCCAGACATAGACGCCTTCATTTCACCATCCTCAAAAGCGGAGGAGGAGACCAAACAAGGGTTTTCTTGATTGGTAGAAATAAAAGATTTGATATACTGTAGCCACAATATAACAATGACAATACAGCGCATCAAAAATGACACCCAGAGCAATTATGTAAACTAAGCTGAAAAAAAAGACATTCAGAAATCACCATAGCTATGTCCAAAATATTGCTTCATACATACAGTATGTGCACCCATATTTATATATCAAAACATATTCAAAATTCAGCATTATGGTGTAGCAATAGTATATTTCATAATCAAAAAGAAGAGCCTCTTCAAATACACTATATATCATGTTAAAATAATATGTACTATATATATACAGTGCACAGCATAAATGAGTACACCCCCTCTGAATAAATAGAAAATATGTATTTTCTTAATGATCACTAATATAATTTATGGAAAGATGGCAAAATTGAAACATATTAAACATACACTTAATAAAAACAACAAAATATATACCAATATTTTCTGTAAGATAAGTA